CACAGGGCGCTGCGAGGGACACGGTCGAATGCCTTCTCCAGATCCACGAAACACATGTAGACTGGTTGGGCAAACTCCCATGGATGGAATACAGACTCAGGGAATTGGAAATGAAGGTCAGACCAAACAGGAGTATAGTGAGAGAGAGAAGTGATACATGTAAGGAAAACCTCCCCACCACTGGCCTGTGTTCCTGCGGGACGAGATGTGACCTGGGAGATGACATTCAAGGAGCATTGATGGATATTGTTCACAACGAATGCTGCTTTGCGAGGCCACAGCTTCGGCTCCTCTCTCCTGATCTCTGCTATTGTGATGAGCTGCCACTCACTCCGAGGGTTGATAATGCAGTTCCAGCTGACCACTGCCAGTTCGTTCCTCTGCATTAGTTTCAAAACAGCTGTGCTCTGCATACATAGTCGGACGTGAGGCTTTACAGCAGCTTTTACTTTTTCTGCTTGTTTTCATCTGTTGTGCTGGGAGCCAAGAACGTTTCACTTGCACTGAATTATCCTACTTTGAACATGTTACATAAAGAAGAGGAGCAGGGACTGATGACAAATTTTTTAAATTTTTTCCTTGGAATTGAACCTTATTTTTAAAGGTTAAATAGGTTCTGCGGTCATATTGATTCTTTTCTTTTTTCCAAAACTACCTTTGGACAAGTTTTGTCCAGAAATAACAAAATTTGCCCATCAGTTCCTCTAAAACTCATTGATTAACATAATATATATTGTTGGTTTAATCTTTGTGAATTTGCTGGGGAACAGCACAAATCCACAGATGCCTTGTGTCTACTCAACATTACAACATTAGAAGAACCATAAAATTATGGCCTTACACTCTGCTTTTTAGACAGGTTACAGGTGTGAACTTTTAGGCTGTTAGAGGCAAATCTTCAGACCTTCAGGCAGAGCTAGGCTAGCTGTTCCATCCGTTTCCAGTCTTTATGCTAAGCTAAGCTAAGCAGCTCCTGGCTGTAGCTTCTTATTTACCATCCAGACATGAAAGTGGTGTCAGTCTTCTTACTGAACTCTCAACAAAGAAGCACATACAGTATATGTGCATTTCCCCTAAAAGTCAAACAACCCTTTTGATATTAGACCGATCTCGTTATTTGTCTTGATTGAATGGAAGTGTACTCATGTAGCTAATTAGCAGTTCAGAGGTCAGTAATATTCTCACACCCCTCTGTTGTCATGCAGATTGCATTAATGATGAGACTGTTGTTTCATTTTTGGTACTGAAGATGGCCATCTGTGGTGTGTCCATATTCATTTAAGATTTATTTTGTAAGATCTACAACAGCATTTGAATTTTAACTCAGCCTCAATATTATAAAACCTGCTGAAAGTTATTTTAAGATAAACATCAGAGAGCAGCATCTGTGTAATTCAATCAGCTGTAGCTGTGCTGATGTTGCACATCCCAACAGAACATTATATTTGACCAAGTAAACATTCGACCCTAAAATTGAATCTATTCACTGTTTAGTGTAAATCAATATATAACAGGGCTGTGTTCCCCAAAGATTGAGGCTTCAAGTGGTTTTTGAAAATAGGTCACACCATCATCTGATTGAATCTTTCTTTTCTAAAATAAGAAAAGTCTCTGTTCACTCCCGCTTGCAGTCTCTCCCACCCGACCATGGCTTCGTTAATGATCTCATTTAAGAGGTCACAGGTTTTCTAATTGGAAACGGGCTGACTCCTGTTGCACTGGGGTGACTTCTGTGGCAATTTAAAGTTAGTACTGACTTTCTGACCTCGGTAAAAATACACTTCTGACACAGCTGTGTTTGGAAACACATCCAGTCCTTCAAGTAGCTCAAACTACCTTTGGACCCAAGTTCTCCCTCAAGGAAAACAAAAGTGCTTTGCTTTCAGAACATTTGAAAACACGTGAGCCACTCAATCATGGATTTTTGTGTGTGTTTTTGTGGCATTACTTCATATCCTGGAGATTAGCTATAGCCTGCGTACATGTAATGTAATGCAGGTATTGCAATTTAACCATCATAGAGACAAAGAGCAGCTGAGACTGTGGAGTGCCTTCAGATGACCTGAGCCTTGTCTGGCAAAGCACCGTGTCCCTCCACAATCCCATCGCTTACTCAAATATTAGCCAAATCCCGCCAGCTGATGCTTCAATAGATCTGTTCACTTCACGCTCGTAATTCCTTATTAGCAGGTGGCCCGGCTCCAGCGCCGGTGCCGTCTACACACATTCAAACAATCACATACATACATACACACAACACTGCAACA